TCACCGAATGCCCGTCACCGAATGCCCGTCACCGAATGCCCGTCACCGAATGCCCGTCACCCTCCGTTCCTTCTTCCGTTCTGCAACGTCTCTTAATTCGTGGCACATACCACAGTTCGAGTATCTCCGCCGTAAACCATTCTACAAGACGAGTGCTTGTAAAGATTGTCTTTATCGGCAGCGGACGCAGCTCGCGCAAACGGTTACTCGCTCCGTTTATGAGGCGCGGCGTCGCGCTAATTCTCGTGTTTGAAACGCGCCCTCTCCCCCAGAGAGTTTCCATTCCAACGGGCTCTTCGCGCGGCGTTTTAAGACTTGTAAACCCCTGCTCGGCGTTGATCGCGCGTCCGCGCTCAGTATGCGCCGACGGATTACGCCCAGCCCGTTCGGCCGGCAGATGTTTCTGGGCAATCGGAAGGAAGGCTGCGCGTCGCAGTGGCATGGACTTTGCAGACAAAATGGCCGGATTACGGTCGAGACCCCCCTCCCCCTCCCGCTGGAGGAAGGAGAAGTCTTGTTCTTTCCGGAGATCCTGTTGCGAACTTTGTTCGCCGGGAACGCCTCTGATTAAATTTTAAAAGGGGTTGTTAACAGACGGTATGCAAGAGGGGAGGGTGATAATCAAAATGAAAATTGGATGTCATTGTACTCCACTACGTTGTACACGTAAAATTCCGACCTTTCCACTTCTTGCGAGAATGATGCATAGAGTATGGGAAATATGAAAATAAATATGTTTTAAGTAAGAGAAAATGTATATTTACAATTTGATACATTCAGTGATGAAATAAGGTCTTATTAGTAGATCCGTGCTTTACTTTCCATGTAGGTTTATACAGTTTTTGAAGTTATGATGTAATTTGGTATTGATATGTAATTTGAAAAACGATTAATGACATGTTCTATTGAATATGAAACAATGAAATTGTCTGAAGCTATTTTACTGCAAGTACTAGCTTCAATTACAGTATAATTCTCTCGTGTCATTTATTCTAGAAAATTGAATGTGCTGATATTAAAAATTCAAATTGATTATGTGCGAACAGTCATACTACTTGCTAAGATAAGTTTTCTCCAACATAGAGTTTATTTGTTGGATAATTTGGTCTTTGGGGTACGCAAGAAAATGCGGTATTACATTTCAAACTAATGTGATTTAGAATGTACGCTAAGTGTCTGATGATTAAAACATCATTTGAAGATCGTGTATGATGGTATTGTTATTTGCATTTATTTTCTCATGAACGATTGTAAGTTACATATTAACTTCATACTGAGTGACATAATTATTTTATCAAGACATCAGGCTAGGAGATCAGAACTCTTTCCGAGTTCCCTGTCGCCCGAAGATTCGTGCCCTGAAAGTGAACGCTTTTGTAGCTATCACGGCCTTCTGATAAAGAAACAAACTCTACTAAAAGTGGTTTAAATATAGCGCTAATGCCCTTCTTTTAATGCGGCCACGCTCGTCTGATTTCTCCTACCCCCCCACCACCTCACTCCCCTCCCTTTCCACCAACCCCGGACAACGAAAGCATGCGCTATTCGTGGCGACGAGTGATCTCAGTTCTTCTTCGTCTCTTGCAGGGCGATACTCGAAAGAAGCATGAATATTCCTATTTTGTATTACATGATATTTAGTGATTGGTATCAAATTTGACTTCCTATCCTATTTGCAGTAACAATTTGTTATTATTGTTATTATTATTATTACATTAACATTAATTGTAACAGTAAAGTTTAAAATTGGAATATTGTTGATTCAGGTATTCGACTAAGCAGTTAGCTCAGTAGTTGTGTCGGGTTTTGAGAGAGTACTATTCCTTTGACTTCTCGTGTACGCCATACATGAAGCAGCACGTAAC